TTGTCACACGTCCCAACGTATAGCCTCGTGTCGAGTGAATTCACACTTCTCAGAGCGAAATGTGGGGAGAAATAGGTAGAAATAGAATTTGATTTAAAGCTTTCGTGACTGCAGGGATTCATATATAATAAAAAAAATATTAAAAAAGGTATTGTTTGATTATTTCCCTTCTACGTGACTTTACCGAAAGAACCAAGAAGATGAACCAAATAGGTTAGCAGCGTTTACGCGAAATCGCACAAACCGAACCCGCATAAAGCGAGGGAAACCTGTATAATATGATTCTGATCAGGCCCCACGGCATAAACATATAGTCTCCAACTCGTGTTATTTGCTCTTTCTCTCTCATCTACTGGCCTCTCTGTGCTATGAAGGACCATTGCCTAAAACGTCGCCTATTATATATATGTACACTAGCCTGTAGCCCGTTCAAGGACGGGCGTATTGCAGCGTCATAAAAAGTCAGACCCCCCTCAAATATGACGTCACAAAGCTCTGCCCCCCCCCAAATAAAACATGCTTCAAATCGCTTAAAACTATTGTCATTGTAGTGCGTATTTAATGTGGCGCTGCACTCTGATGTTGTAGGAGAAAACATTTATTAAAAAGTATATTTAATTAAGTAGAACGTGTTGCCCATATTTATTTAAAGTTGCGCATTTTGATGTGACGTCACATTTCTCAACCCCCCCCCCCCTCGTCACACATCGTCACAAATGTCTGACCCCCCCCCCCTCTAGGTGCGTGACGTCATTTATGGACGACCCCTAATCTGTCTGTCTGTTATCTCCTTGTGTGTTCGTTCCCCCTTTGTCGCACGACACCAAGGGTGGCACAGTCGGGTTTTTTACAATCGGGTTTAATTGTCTTTTTATATTAAACCCGATCATCTGAGATTGGGAGAAATCCGGTTTAATTGGTTCTAATTGCGGCATCCGAGCGGAACTTCTCAACGATGGGCTTAATCTAAGTTGTCTTGTGGTTGTTGTTGTTTGACTTGCATCCCACTGGGATTTTTGCAAACACAGCGTTGGTGTGCGGTGCTGTTTCTGCAATATTTTGCTGTCTTTTCTTGGATTTTCTGTTTGCACATATTCACTTTAGGATGTTTTCTTGTTCATGTTTTTGTTTTTTGTTTGTTGCGGTTGCACCCGATTCAAAAACCGAATGGCTCACAGGGATATACCTAATACACGAACTTGAATCCATTCCAAGCTAAGGAACTCACTGGCGCCCACGATTGTGGAGGAGAAGCTCGTGTTCATCAAGACCAACCTGCCCGCCGCATTCTACGACTACCCCGTGCCCGACGGCCCCCTCGAGTACGATAGCAGCACCGACGAGGAAGCAGCCTAAGCCTTGGATCAGAGTTTCGTATTCATTAAACCAGGTTTTAATTCCCCGACATCGGGTTTAATTGTATTAAAGAAAAACCCCGATGCCTGCCGCTGGAAAAATCGTTTTTTTTTTCACCCATGCGACAAAGCGAGCTCGATCGAGACCTCGAACGACCACGAGGGGCCGCAATTCGCCCTCGATGTCGAGCGAGCGGTGAGAATTCCACGTTCTCATGGCGGCGACAAGTCCGTTGGTTGTCTTCAGCACCCCCCCACCTCCCCTAAATCGTCCAGAACGAGCCGTGTGCGGAATGGAACCGCGAGTAAGTGGCGAGGTTAGGAAGAAACAAACGTTGTCATCACCCAGCCAATACCACATCACCATCCATCCCTTCTGTCACCATCGCTATGAACACCACCAAACACCACCACCACGGTCTACGTCGTCATCATCATCATCACTATCACATTCACCATCATAGTTTACATTCCAAGCATTGCATTAACATCGCCAACATCACCGTCAACCACACCGTTTGCATTAACATAATTTATATAAAACATTACGCAATGCCTACCTATCTCCTCAATCATCTCGATTATACAGGGTGGTCCAGATGTCTTATAACACCTCTAAGATGTGTTTTTCATTTACATATGAATGTCTTTTTAAAATAAACCTTACTTTAAAACTATTAAGGTTTAGAGATTTAATGGGGGTCACGCCCGACCGCCTTTGTCTCCCCAGTGGCGATGTTTACTACACACCGCAGCGGGGACTCATTTGAGGCCGAGTCGACCTAGGGGAGGCCCGGGACCCGTATCACACAATATCGTCACTGGGTGTTGGCCGTGAGCGGGAAATCGAACTCGGGTCGCCAGGTTCGTAGCGCCTGAATCGGTCTGCGTTCAGGTATGGGGCCGTCCATAAATGACGTCACGCACCTAGAGGGGGGGGGGGGGTCAGACATTTGTGACGATGTGTGGCAATGGGGGGGGGCGTTGAGAAATGTGACGTCACATCAAAATGCGCAACTTTAAATCAATATAGACAACACGTTCTACTTAATTAAATAGACTTCTTAATAAATTCTAGATTTGAAGCTTTCGTGACTGCAAGGATTCATATTCTTAGGTTTTTTCGGTAAAGTCACGTGGGTAAAACATCAAAATTAATACAAATATTAATTTTGTGTCTGTCGTGATCTTTATTTTATTTTATTTTTCTAAGTAAAAGTTTTCTCCTACAACATCAGAGTGCAGCGGCACATTAAACACGCACTACAATTACAATAGTTTAAAGCGATTTCAAGCATGTTTTAAAAAAAAAATTTGGGGGGGGGGGGGGGGGCAGAGCTTTGTGACGTCATATTCGAGGGGGGGTTCTGACTTTTTGTGACGTCACGTGACGAGGAGGGGGGTCAAAAATCGCTCATAATCGCGTGACGTCATTTATGGACGGCCCCTTTGCCGCTTCCTAAGAAGGCGGCGGCTGCTGAACCGGGTTACGAAACGTCACATTATACCAGCAAAAGGTCAACAACTCTGCTGCTGTTTAATCTCCCTCCCCCTTCTCATACTCTTTTTCGGTAAAGTCACGTAGGTAAAAAAAAATTAATTAATAAAAGTAAAATAATTTTTTTTAAAACAAATTCACGACGTTTCGGAGGCAACACAATCCCTCCGTCTTCAGGTGGAACCATCACAGCCTACGACAGCTGTATCAAGTAAATGAGAGATTACAAGAGCTACCACTCCGTTTATATAATGGTTGGAGAGGGTGGGGAAGGGCCAAGTACGGCACACTTTTTATTAAATCCTTTATATTAAGTTCGCTTGCTTGCTTGCGTGCTTGCTTGCTTGCTTACGACCGTGCAAATCTTTCGGTCGTTTTTTAACCCACTTCCCGTGATCCAATCGAGCTGACATTTTGCACACAGACTCGTTGTGCGAGACAATTAATGTTCGTGAAAAAAAAATTCCAAAATTTTACACTGTTTAGGGAAAACAAATTAAATATTTAATTACCAATTGCTTAATACTGGCAGACAATCATCTGACCCATAGGTGGCAGCCATCTCAAGCCAGAGGACGAGAGGACTCTAGCCGCCACGCATATAAAGCATTTATAGTGAAAAACTTTGTTTTTACGGGTTATACTTGTTATTAAATCCTTTATATTAAGTTCGCTTGCTTGCTTAGGACCATGCAAATCTTTCGCTCGTTTTTTAACCCACTTCCCGTGATCCAATCGAGCTGACATTTTGCACACAGACTCGTTGTGCCAGACAATTAATGTTCGTGAATTTTTTTTCTCCAAAATTTTACACTGTTTATGGAAAACAAATTCAATATTTAATTACCAATTGCTTAATACTGGCAGGCAATCATCTGACCCATAGGTGGCAGCCATCTCAAGCCAGAGGACGAGAGGACTCTAGCCGCCACGCATGTAAAGGATTTATAGTGAAAAACTTTGTTTTTACGGGTTATACTTATTATTAATATGATAAGGTGAGGCTTAAGAGGGTGAGCCTTAATTCTAGATTTGAAGCTTTCGTGACTGCAATGATTCATATCCTTAGGTTTTTTCGGTAAATTACGTAGGTAAAAAAACATTAAAAAGTAAAATTTTATTTTATTTTACTTTCAATGTTTTTTTTACCTACGTGACTTTACCGAAAAAAACCTAAGGATAGGGTGAGCTTTGTTATGGAGAGAGGTGCTGTTTGTAACTCACACATGGCAAACGTGACAAACGTGTGAAAAAAGAAAAGCGAGTAATAAGTATAACGCGTAAGAACAAAGTTTTTCACTCTAAATCCTTTATATGCGTGGCGGCTAGAGTCCTCTCGTCCTCTGGCTTGAGATGGCTGCCACCTATGGGTCAGATGATTGTCTGCCAGTATTAAACAATTGGTAATTAAATATTTAATTAGTTTTCCCTAAACAGTGTAAAATTTGGGATTTTTTTTCACGAAAATTAATTGTCACACACAACGAGTCTGTGTGTAAAATGTCAGCTCGATTGGATCACGGGGAAGTGGGTTAAAAAACGACCGAAAGATTTGCACGGTCCTAAGCAAGCAAGCGAACTTAATATAAAGGATTTAAAAATATATTCGCCTGTGGAGGACGCGGGGATCGATCCCGCGACCTTTGGCATGGGAAGCAAGGGCGCTACCAACTGCGCTACTCCGCCACGGCCTGTGGAGGGGTTACGCTCTGGGCTCTTACACTCTGACGTTCAGACAAAGCCATGAATGCGTTCTATTTGAATATATGTAAAATACATTTTTTTTTGCCTAAAAAGTGTAAAATTTTTGGAATTTTTTTTCACGAACAATAATTGTCTGACACAACGAGTCTGTGTGCAAAACGTCAGCTCGATTGGATCACGGGTAGTGGGTTAAAAAAACGAGCGAAAGATTTGCACGGTCGTAAGCGCGCAAGCAAGCAAGCAAGCGAGTGAACTTAATATAAAGGATTTAATAAAAAAAACTAAAACTCCTTTGAGTTTATTTAATTTTAATCGATTCGGCCGAGGAGATTGCGTAACGCCTGCGTTGGTGGGTTGGGACCTCCCCTTTTAAGGGAGGCGGCTGGTGGTGACTGAGGTGACGTGAAACACATTTTTATTTATTTTATTTGTTTTAAAGCCGCAATTCTCCTTTTTCTAAGTCGCGGGTGAAAAAGAAAGCAGTCGACCGTTGTTTTCGATCGCTAAGTTTTAACAACAACAGCAGCAACAACAACAACAGCAACGACAAAAACAACAACAGCAGCAGCAACAACAACAACTCGGCTGTAGGCGAGTAAGTTTGTGAAGCTTTTAAAAGTTGTACAATTCGTGCAGATTTGGTCGTCATGAACCAGCAACGCTACAAGATGAGAGACTCCGGCAAGGAACTTCTCGCTCAGCACGAGGCTCAAATGAAAG